TGGAACTCACGGGTACATACCACCTCGAGATATTTGCAGCACGCGACCATCGTGATAAGAATTCTCCCATGTGACTTGTTTAACTGTCGTCAGTTTAATTCTAATTGGTCTCACGGTGGTTGATAGTGAAAAAAATAAATAAAAAATAACAAGTGCTAGGTTCTTAACTTTGATACACGAACTTGTTTATATCTGAGGTAATAATTAACGGAGGGATTCATTTGCATCGGAGATTGGAGATGGTGCTGGTCAATATCAATGCAAAACCTGATAATTCAGCTTATGAGATTATATCGTGAACATCTTGATAAGAGAGCCGACGGGGGATATTTTAAGCTGTAAATTTATTGGCCCGCACAGAAGTTCCCGTGACATTTCTTTCAAACCTAGTAGTTAATTTTTTTTGGAATTATGAATGCATGATACCTTCATATCTGCCTCAATGAAAGTCTAAATACTTGCCTGAAGATTAAAATGGATGAATCAAATTGTTATTAAGATCAAACCGTGCGGTTAGCCTATGGTAGAGATGCGAGCAAATTTCTTGACCTCTCAGATGACGGTCATGTGACCGTCACTGGCGCGTCACATTACCGATCCACGAATGACCAACTACCGTCAGACAGGGATAGCTAAATTCATAATATTTAATTACCGTTAAATATTGTAGTCATTAATTAGTTGATATCAATAAACCCTCTCTTCAACCCTCTCTTCTCTGCTCTTAAATTTTTTGAGTACTCAAGTATCATTAATTTAAATATTTAAATTTTTAACTATTTTATCAATCAACTAGGCCATCATGCGCACTGTCGCGGGCAACCACCTTCAAGTGAGCGCTGTAACGCACAATAACATCCTCGTAGTCATGGAAATCATTGATTGATCCATCAACCAATCGCAAGGCGAATAAAAAGTTAACAATCAAAACAATCATTCATTGTCAATCAACTTTATGAAAAAGGACAATTGAGGTAGGAAGATTGATGATTATTTGTGTAGTCGAAAGTCCCCTTTTAAGCAATTTGAATTATTCATTTAGTGGTAAATTTACAGTTTCATATTAACAAATTTTAAATACATCATTATTCGGAAAAAAACATTATTAATATTATATTATTTGAAAAATTGGATCAACATATTTTAAACCTTCATTAATGTAAGGGTCAAATTTTTGTAATATTACAGAAATTTAATATAGATGGCACTCCTCATGAAATAGGGACTTTTTCTTCTTTGAGCTTTAACCCTCGAGAGCACTATTGCAGAGCGATTAGGGAGTGTTTGCATCGCTTAGCTTGCTGGGCGATCTTCGAGGTGAAGTCGGAACCCTCGAGGATCGTTCAGCGATCTTATTTACGAGTAAAAAAAATGAAATCTAATAATTATAAAACTGAAAAATCAATTATTTGAAATAATTATTATTTTCAGTAAAATATAATGATAGTTTTTTTTTAAATTTTTTTGAGACAGCAATTGTGCAATAATTTTTTTATTTCCCGATGTGTATAAATGTTCTTGTAGTTAGTAAATATACTTGGCAAAAGCAATTATTTTTCACGCAGGGAAGACGGGTCCAAATCCCGCCGCAAACACCAAATTCTCCATTGGAAAAAATAAAATTCACAGCTATTGACATAATTTTTCAATTATAATTGAAATAATTATTTATATCCACCCACTGCAACACATTTTTTTTCAATACTCGATAGAAGAAATTCCCATTGTATCGTTTATTTTGTTTCCTTAATTGACGTTTCTCCAACGTTTTCCAACTCACTCGACCCAAACTAATCCAATTGTCAACCCAGACGATCTCAGTTGACCCACTACCCACCCTCTGCCCTCGCCGGCCCCCTTTAGCGATAAAAAAACTTCCTATAACTCGTTAAAACCAGACTGTAACATCCGGAAATCCGTGGATCAGTCCAGTGTAACGTGCAGCCAAGTGAAGAGCCCCCTGTGCATTACTCTTTTCCCTCAGCCTCACAAGACTTGGCAATAATACCCAGCCTGAAGTCATAAAAGAGTCCTAATATCCCTCAACATCTCTCATTACCTTCTTCTTTATCTACTTCAAACCGATTCACTCGGGTATCTCATCTAAGAGTACATTGCCACGAGTCGAAATCCGAAGGTTTCCAGTATCAAAACAAAGGGAGATGCCAGCATATTCATACTGATTAAGAATCTTGCGGTTTATTTTTGCAGATACACTGTTAGAAAATTAATCTTGAAATTTCAAGTAAAAAATCTTGAAATTTTTAACAATGAGTAATTTACATGAAATTTCCATTGATCTTGTTATTGATTAATCAGTCAATGTTCTTGAATATCCAGTAGTAATACCCCAAGAGCTTCAAAATTATCGGGTATTTCCCGATAGCTTCGTTGCAAACAAATGAGGGTGTCAAGTTTTGCAAGTTAAAAAATCCCGAGCGCTTGCGCGAGGGATTTTTCTGCAAAACTTGGCACGATGGTTTGTTTGCAGGTGAACTTGAGGGAAATACCCGATTAATTTTGAATCTCGAGGGGTATTTGTCGGATTATTTTTTCCAATCGGATTTTGGCCAAGCAGGGGGCAGTGGACAACATCAGAAGGTGAATTGGAGAAGATTTGAACAAATTATGTTAATAGAATAACCCGATTTCCATAAACTGTCAAATATAAGATTCTATCTCGAGGACGTCTTTGGGCTCGTCGTCAGCGTGCTGGCCCTATAAACCAAAGCGTCCCAGTAGCGCAGGTTCGAGTCCCGGTGATGAAAGATTTTTTCATCGCCGGAAAACGAACTCAGTGCATGTGGAGTTAGTTATGTGGAGTTAGATATAAGTTAGCTTAGAGGCAAGTGCGGGTAGGGAATTAGGCTGGGGTACCGTGTAGGTACTGGGACGGGTAGGTAAAAGACCACAACGGTCATACCATCTGGCACCACCCAATTTTATAAGATTCTATCTGAAATGAGCCGGAAAAATAAAGAGCTACTGCGAAATATTCAGGTAAAAAAAATGAAGAACTACTGCGAAATATTCAAAAGCCAGGAGGAAATATCCGAAATAAAGTTGTCAGGTAGCCTCAAATACTTCGCTCTGATTGGTCGAAATCCGATTGGGAAAAATAATCAATGAAGTTTGATTTCTCAGGTTCAAACGACAATGAAAATTACTGAAAATCATGAAAATTCAGGCAAATTTTCTTCTGAATTTTCAATCTGTCGCTTAATTTTCACAATAGGTTTGAAAATCCAAATTGCCATTGAAAATTCAATGCTCATTCATAATGAAAAACTTAATTTTATTGAATTTCCAAGATGAATCAGGAATCCCATGAGCAATTTAGTCTGAAATTCAATTCAAGTCCAGAGTATTGAAGTTCAAATCCATCTGTTACTTAAATTTGAAAAAATTTCTAACAGTGTATGTAGCATTTTTTGTTATGAAATTCCCTATATTTGTCACATTGGATGTCTGGATGACTTCTCAATAGTTGATTGTACGCATGACGGTGGGCGTTGTATTCCCGCCATGCGCAGTCATCGACTGCGCTACTTCCGTTCGATTTTTCGTTACTTGAGATTTTCCAGGGATACTCTACCACAAAATTTCGATAGAGAACTACGGTTTTTACACATCATAACAATTAATCAATTCTCTATTTCATCATCACTTTCGTAAGATGAATAGTGATGCCGCGAGAGACTTCACGAGACAATACTTTGGACAGATGGTCTTGGTCTCAAGAAAATGAAAATCTTTGGTCTCGTCTCAGTCTCGAAATACGCAGTATCGACTCCTCTCGTAATGACTCCGAGTCAATTTATTCCATCTCGGCCTCAAGTTTTTCGTGTTTTATAACGTGAAGTCTCGGTTTTTGTCTCGATTTGTCTCGTCTCGGTCTCCAACATATAAAAAACGCGAAAAACTGGAAACCTAGATGATATAAATTGACTCGGAGTCATCACGAGAGGAGTTGATACTGCGCATTTCGAGACTGAAATGAGACCAAAAATTTTCCTCTTCACTGGGACCGAGATAATCCCTCCAAAGTGTTGTCTCGTGATTTCGCGTGAAGTGTCTCGCGGCGAAAATTTTTTTTCGAGCGTTAATTCAATTTGCAACACAACTTTTATTCGGTTTTTCCTAGATGATATAAATTGACTCGGAGTCATCACGAGAGGAGTTGATACTGCGCATTTCGAGACTGAAACGAGACCAAAAATTTCCCTCTCCACTGAGACTGAGATAATCCTTCCAAAGTATTGTCTCGTGATGTCTCGTGAAGTCTCTCGCGGCATCACTGAAGAATCATGATAGAAATGAAAAAAAAATTCTTCGTGCGTTAATTCAATTTACAACACAACTTCCGTTCGGTTTTTCGTGTCACGAGTTTTTCCTCGAATTAATCTACCCCAAAGTTGATGATAGGATAAAAAAATCGATCACAAAGGCTTTTGAAGTGAAAAAACAACGGGAAAATGGGCCTTGGATTTGCGAGCCTGCGAACGCCAGGATTAACAACTTAATTGTTCCATAAGTGTACATGACCATGTGGGATTCTAATCTCATTCGCCTTTGTTTCGTCTGTTGTTCTTCCCCCATATTTTTATTGTACTTGTTTACGCGAGGGATCTCATGCATTGAAAATCAGGGAGATACCTTAGCTGGCAGGATGGATAGCTGTGGGTTGTCGTGGTCTTCTTGGTTTCTTGGTGAAAGTACATCCATTTGTGATTACACAGTAGGGTTTGCTGAAGGAGAGAGGGAAATAAAAAGCAACAGTACTTAACGTAGTGTATGTACATGACTCTCAAGGTCGAGTTGAAATGGTTTTATGAGAGAGCTGATGAGCCTCGTGAAGATGAGTCCGGCAATTAGTGGTTTTTGTTGGATTTAATGAGTTGGAGGGGATGTTTCCGGTGGAAATCATCAATGATTGGGGGAGCATAACCGAGAAATTGAAAATTCGTGGTGTTATTGAGATTATAATTGTTATTTTTCAGTTCAGAGCAGGGTCAGGTGCGCCAAGGACTCCATGGAGGTGGATATCTTCAGGAGCAGCCCTCAGGCGGAAATATATCTTCAACAGTTGAAGAATTATCCTGGTATGAGGGACTCTACTTTTATTTTATTTTTAATTTAAGGTCGGGGTGGACTATCTTTCGAACGTTATCTCGATTGTTTTTCCATCCTCATAATGTAAAATATATCACAATTTCCATTAGATTTTACATCGTGCAGGAGTCCCTAAAAATTATGGTTGTACAATCAAAAAAAGTAGAAAAAAAACTGAACATTTTCAAAAAGCATTTTTAAGAAAGATTAAGAAATAAGTCCGATAGAGAGGAAATAGTGAATGGAGAATTTATCGTGGCAACTAAAGATCTGACAGCCATTGACTCACGGACGAAAAAATTTAATAAAAAAACCTATCGAATTCGTTAGAAAATTCTATTGAATTTCTATTGAACTGTTCTATTAGTTTTTGGCCGATTCTATTGAAATGTTCAATAGAAAATATTCAGTGGAAAGAGTCAATAGAATTCTATTTTTCTATATAACTTATTCTATTGAGATATTTTCTATAGAATTTCCTCGGCTCAAATCTTCAAGTTTTTTCGTTTGATTTTCTTGATGAGAAGAAAAGAAAAATAGAATGAAAAAAACAGAAAATTTGAGTCGAGCAAATTCTATAGAAAATATATGAAAAGAATAAGTTATATAGAAAAATCGAATTCTGTTGATTTTTTCTATTGAATGTTTTCTATTGAACATGTCAATAGAATCAGCCAAAAACTAATAGAAAGTTTAATAGAAATTCAATAGAATTTTCTCACGAATTCGATAGGTTTTTCTATTGAATTTTTTCGTGCGTGCTACTGTGACAAATGACGACCTAACAGCCATTAGATACATGAAATTATGAATTTGCAATTTCCTCCCTATTGGGTTTATTTCCCAATATTATTCAAAAACGCTCTTTGAAAATGTTCAGCTTTTTTTCAACTTTTTTTTGATTATACAATCGTAATTTTTGGAGACTCCAGGCCTGTGTAAAACTAAATAGTAATTGGAGATCATTTCAGATTATCAAAATAAAAAAAGCTATCAAGATCACGTTCGAATGATAATCCACCCGGGCCTTAATTTTAATTTTAATTTGATGTTTATTCCATTTTTTCGTCTTCTTTTCTTCGTTCAGATGAGGCGTGCAAGCCTGTTCTCAGCGATGGCGTCGCGACGTTTAGACTGTCATTGACGGAACAGGCAATGTCTCGGTGTGGAATAACACGAGTTGTCAATAAAGTCACCGTAATTATCATTTTTTTCGAAATTTGAAACTAAAATTAGACAAATGTTTTTTTTTCATTCTTGAAATTCGAGAAAATTCAATGAATGGTTTTTGGTGGTCACCAGGGTCAGAAAGTCTACTATCATCGGATCATTGTGGAGGAACCGGATGATTCCACCAAGCACACATTCACGGTAAAGTGCATTGTGACCGAGTTTATTCTCCACTCGGAAGTTCCACGAAATCACACGATTGTGAGGAGAAACATTCTGCCGGCTGAATTCAAGGAGGACGAGTGAGTGCTCCAATGAGATTAATTCATGGAATTTTATTATGAGAAACAAATGTAAATATACTGCAAGCAAACTGGAAAAATCGTGGCCATGAGTGCAGAAAGGAAAATTCATGGACTTCTTCCTAGTAATTATCTCTTGAAAATGTGCCAATCAAGTTGGCGCTAAACACCAATAGAATTCAGTAGCGAAGTGGTAAAACGGTACAAGTCAATTTTAACTATTGACCAATTTTCAGTCAATATTTCGGAGTCTAAGAGAGATAGCAAAATTTTTGTTATAACCTTTTTTGTAGAGCCGACTGAGAGCTACAACAAATGTAATTACGAAAATTTGGCCATCTCCCTTAGATTCGGAAATATTCCTCAAAAACTCAACTGGGAGATAAGTCGACAAACCGTTTTACCACTTCGCTACTGATGAGATTATAGAATGTTCACAGAATCCCGATAGACTCCTCACAGAGGTCCAATCGAAATTCAGTGGAATTTTTTTTATTTTCGGTAATTTTTTTAGATTTTTTCGCCGTGTGGGGGGGGGGGCAAACCCCCCCACTGGGGGCTGCGCCCCCTGATTCCCGCTTCTGCGCCCCGCCCCCCCCCCCTCTTGGCAGGACTTCAACGTGAAAAATCGATTGTCATTCGCCCTATCATCCTTACAACACAATCTACTATTTTCCCACGACCACTGATAATTCAACTTCTGCAATTAAGAATTAAATACCGCTTTGTTGGCCCGTTTGAGAGCAGATAATCGATTAAATACATGACGAGCATATCTAAATATCCGTGGAATGTAAGAGAGAGCGTCACGCGCCGTGGAACACATTGAATTCATATGGAGGAAAGATTATTGAATATTCCGTCGTTGAGAATGCATCTGCATTTTTTACTGAATATCTCGGGAATTATTGGCTCTAGGAAGAAATGTGTTAAAAACTCGTTTTCAGAGAATTAAATTTTCCGGAAAAAATGTTGAATGAATTTTTTTCAAAAATCCACCCCCTTCCGAGATATTTGAAAAATAATCCGCGTGACTTGTCTCGAGGGAAGATTTTTTTCTCCAAATGAATTTCTCAGGTGTTTGCAGACAGTTACAGTTCAGTAATAATAAAAAAACCATCATGGCCAATGGATTGATACTCTAACGATTGAAATATGGGTCAATTCTTCATAACTGCATCGTTGGCGCATCCAGGGGGCTCTCGAGACGGTTTTCTCCATCCATTTTTCCCACTTTTTTTTTCACTCACAACTTCCGGTATAACCAGAACTCACGAGTGCTCGTCATGCTCGGGAGACACGCAACAGCCGTTTGAGGACGCGTGATTTATTAAAAACGTGCAGTCGCGTGGTGAAAGACCGGTCGATTGAAAATTCCTGATTTTATTGATTCATTCATCATTATCGTTATTCTTCACACAGGGAGTTTATCCGTCATTATTATCGCACCACTTGAAGGGTAGGAGAATTTATCACATTTTGTTTGGTCGATGAATATGAAAAAATTCAATTTTCAACTTTTCGAAACGAAAGGTTTTCGTTTTGGGGGTAATCCCTGAAAAATTTTATGTCACGAAAAACCAATCGGAAGTTGCGCAGTCATGTGTACATGTCAACACGTGAGTGGATTTGGTAAACCAAATAGTTGCTCATTATATTATTAAAAAATCAGCGCTCGAAAACGAATTATCGTGCGTGGAAAAATTTCCTCATTTTCATTATAATTGATCTTATGAAAATGATGATGATAAAGAGAAATGATTAATTGTGGTGTGTAAACGCCTCTGCTCTTTTTATCGAAATTTTGTGGTAGAGGAATCCGTGGAAAATCTCATGTAACGAAAAACCGAACGGAAGTTGCGCGGTTGGCGACTGCGCACGGAGGGAATACAATGCCCACAGTCATGTGTACATGGCAACACGTGAGTTGATGTGATAAGGGAAATAATTTCTCATTATCGAATTCAGTAATATTAAGAGAAGTTTCACCTTACAATAATGAAGATTTACCTCTCTTCATTGAACTTTGAACAATAATATAATAATTGATAATTTAATTTTTTTTCAATTGACTATCAATTATTCAGTAAATATTTATAAATGTCATAGAAGTATTTTTCGCTCAGCCAAATAATCGTTAATCTTCCGAACTCAATTATTAATTGATAAAATAATTCGGAATTTGAATATTCAAATTGCTGATTAACTTAATAATTAAAAATTTGGTGAGTAACATTGCCAATTGACTCATTCAAAATCTAACTTTAATTCAAATTTATGATTATACCTACATCCGCTGGAAAATCTCATGTAACAAAAAACCGAACGGAAGTTGCGCAGTCGGCGCCTGCGCATGGCGGGAATACAAAATCCCTTATCCCTCACTTCCTCACGCGACATGTCTCAACGACGACGATGGCGCATTTCCACCCAAACAAACTACATGTCCATTAATTGCCGCAATCCTCCCATTTTAGCACCATCGATTTCCGTGGTGAGATAAACGGTACAGCACCAATCCCCCTCCTAAACGTCGGTGTTCGACAAAATGGTAATCTTGTCACTGGTGAACTCAATGTCAGTCCTGGTACCCCGTTGCAGATGGAAATCTATCTGGATAATAATTCATCGCATGTTTATGGTCTTCTCGTGACTTATATGCAGGTCACTGACACCAAGTACGCCGAGGAGACTATCATTTTTAATGGGTGAGGGGACAAAAATTTTGGTTTCCACGGTGAAAAAGCCATTCCTCAAAAATATGGAAAATATATTACAAATGTTTTTTCATCCGTCTTCAGGTGCTCAGTGGATCCTTATCTCTTCGAGAACTTTAATACAGTGGACGGGGACTTCCTGACTGCTAAATTCAGAGCCTTCAAGTTTCCTGAGAGCACTTACGTACAGTTCACAGCGACCGTTAATGTGTGTCTCGACAGATGCGAGGGGGTGAGGGATTTATTTCTCGATTTAATCGGTAATGGGGTACTTGCATGTGGAATCATTGTCAAGAGCTCAGATTAATAACAAATGAGGAAGACCCGAGCAGAATGAAACACTCGAAAATAAAATTAATTAGAAAATTTAACGAATTTTTCTCCTTTTTTCGATTCAGACATCAGCTGAATTATTAGGGAATATCTCCGAATCTGAGGGAGATAACGAAATTTTTGTAATGACCTTTTTTATAGAGTGAATTGAGGGCTGTAAAAAAGGTTCTGACAAAAATATTGCTACGTCTCTTAAATTCCGAGATGTTCATGGAAAAATGGTCAGTAGTTAAAATTGGTGTAAATCGTTAAACGATCTTCAGGACGTCTTCACGAGGGTCAAACGACCTATGAAGATGTGTCGGTTTGAGGGTCACTTGACCCTAAAATAAATCCAAACAAAAAAGAGATTGAAAAATCGATTTAATTAATTCATTTTTGGAAATCAGGTTGAATGCAGCAGTGGACAGACTGGATTTGGGAGAAAGAGACGAGCTATAACCTCAGACGCTAAGAAAGAAAAGTTTGTTTACACAACTACAACATTTATGAGGGTCGACTGGGACGAGAACACAATCGGAAACGAGTGTAAGTCTTCAATTCATCATCTGTTTTTTCACCGTTCGTTTTTCGTGAAAATTTCGAAACTGAAGGGAGCTATCAAAATTTTCATCAGGTCCTTTCTTGTAGCCCTCGAAATTCTCCACAAAAAATGATTTCACAAAAATTTCACTATCTCCCTTCATTCCTGAGATATTCTCAAAAAACTGAGTTTAACGAAAATTTGTTTTCGAAATCACGTTGGTTACCACCTCATTAATGAATTAATGAATATAACTAATTAAAAATCACGTACCTGTCTCATTTAGCGCTATCCCACTTCGTGAGGAAAGGCACACGGAGATCAGCACAAGCAGAGCAGCCGGTAATTGCCGAGGAGATTGAGGAGCAATTATTTTACAAAGTAACTGAGGCTGAAGTCAGCGCCTCAAGCACAATTTCCATCAGTTTTCTCGCGATTCTATTCTTCTGTATGCAGAAATTACTCTAAGAACATTGTTATAAAAATCGTGGAACTATTTTTAATTGAGTTAACATTCAATTCAGCTAAATGGAACACTCGGTGTATTCATTTATTCGGTAGCAACGCCATGACTCTCTGATTCACTGTTGAACGATTTATTTTCTTTTACTGCTGAATGTTGCTGAGGGTTCCAAATGTTTCAACCACTTAATGTGATACTAAAATAACGTTTAAATCATTGCTATAAAGGTTAGAGAAGGATAAAACGTTAACTGAACGAAGTCGCGCTAGGAAATGATGGATTAATGAGATACAATGACTCGATTGTTTCTCCACTCTGCGACTGCTAGATTTTTAATAATCTTGATGTTTTTTTTTTGTGTGGAAAATTGGCTTTTGCAAGTGGAGAAACCTGAGGAACTAGTCGTACGACGTCGTTGAGTAATTACAGTAATTTTAAGTGTAATTTCTAATGATTGATTATGAATTTTCGTTTCCTCTTTCGTAACTGCTATTTTTTAATTACGTATTGACTTTTAGGTAAGAGAAATTTAATAAAGGCAATTTCAAGTATTCTGTGAGTTTATGTTAATTGAAATACCTCGGAAATTATCGGATTTAGAGGGAAATGTTTCAACATATTTGCGAAATGAAGAAATGAGAAATTGACGAAAGAGAAAATTTTTATAAGTATAGAATTGTCATCACATCAAGTCAAATATCTCGAAAACCCCCGGGTCTATCAAAAAATGTCTTAAGACCTTTTTTGTAGAGAGTTGCATTCCCCACGAAAAATGTTTTCTGACATTTTCCCCTAAATCTACTAGTTTCCAAGACATTTGCAAAATAAAGAAATGAAAAATAAACGAAGAAATAAATTATCAAAAACAGCATAAATGTTATCGTATCAAGCCAAATAATTCACCTCAAAATGATCTAATTAGCATTCTCTCTTTCATTCTGATACGAACCCACACCAGGTCCTGGAGGACAAAGTGTCGCCAGTGTTCCACCCCTAGCCTGTCCAATCCTAAGTAACGAAACAGTCGTGATTAATCTGACGAGTACACTGAGAGAAAAACGACAAAGTTCTCAAACAAGTCTTACTTGTGCCAAGAAAACAGTCTTTTGAAAATGATCAAAAAATGATTTTTTTTGCCAAACATACAGAGAGTGCGCCGGAATGAAAAATTTTAGTCGCAAAAATAGATTTAGTAGTTAAAAAAAAATTGCATTCTCTGAAAACGCAAGAAAAGTCATTTCTAGCACTACTCCTTCGTTATTCGATACTCCCATACATATTTTGCTCCCGAAAAATCTTTGTTTTATGCGAAACAAGGGATAGTAGTTTTTCGTTTCGGCTGTCAATAATCACTGACAAGAAATGAACCCTTAAATGAAACAATAATAATGATATGATAGTAATCTTGTAACTTAGGGATAAAATATTTGTTGATAAATTTTCCTCCATATGAGATATATTCATCCTGAAAAGGCACCGTCTGGTGTGAATTATCCGCCTCTTGAGCGAAAAATTTCGTTGCTGTCGAAAGCAGAGCAATTATTCATGTTTGAGACTTTAAAATTCGAACGAAACAAATTCTTTTTTGACAATTTTCAAAAAAGAACTAGCGATTTTGTTGGCCCAAACAAGACTTGTTTGACAACGTGTTTGTTTTTCTCTCAGTGTAGATTTATGATCATAACAGCTCCACTGAATTTCTCAGATGTCCTTACCAGTTGTGGCTGGAATACAGACACGTCTTCTGCAGCATGGTCAGGCGGTAATAGACAATCATAATTTTTTTTCACCTTGAAAAAGCTGGTCTCCCTCGTCAAAATGGATCTTTCATCGTGACATCAGTGGTTGAAAAATTTCCTCAATTTCAAATTCTCGTTAACAACAATTTATTCTTTGGAATGTACAAAACAATTTTTTCCTTCACGGGTAATTGGACTGTAAAAATCAATGCTACATTCTGAAAATTCCAAACTTGCTATCGGGAATGGGCGTATTGAGCGATGCTGACAGACTCATGGCTATAACACTTCTCGTATCGAGTGGATCAATTACCCCATCATCCCAGAGTCGAGCACTCGCGTAGTAAGGGCTTCCCTCATGCTCAAATTGTTTGATAATTGGTTTCTTCAAATTATCCTCCTCCTCTTTAGTCCAACATTTGCCCTCTCTTTCGCGCTGTTCACGTGCTATTTGTGCTAATACACCGGCTGCCTGTTCACCACCCATTACAGATATTCGAGCGTTGGGCCAGCAATACATGAAACGGGGAGAGTACGCACGGCCACACATTCCTTCGGGATAAATGAAGAATGTTTATGAGGAATTGTGGGTTTTTTTCGGGGTGAACTTCTGCGAAGGTATTCAGGGGGATGTTTTTGTGTGGATGCCATTGCAAGGGTTCAGATTGAGACAGTTTTTAGATAATTGCCATTTCAGGATACGAGATTTTCTGGCTTTTTGCAATTCACGAAGGGACATTTTTTTTAATAGGAAATATGATTTTTTTTTCATAATTGCAAATTTTTTTTTTATTGGCAATCTCCAACTAAATATTTTTTGGAAACATTCAACTTTGATTTGTATTTTTTTGTTTTGGTGGAGAACTGGGAAAAATTGAGGTCGAAAGCAGTGACGATAGAAATATTTTCAATAGTTCTGGAGGTATTTGAGAATGATTGGGAATACATTTATTTTTCATTTGTGAAACGACAAAATCTTCCATGTGATGACAATTTTCAATAAATTTATCATCTTCGGACACTTTGGAAGAATCAAATTTTTGCAATTTTTTAAATTTTACCTTTTTTCAGAGAGCCAGGAAAATTTGAAGTCGAAATCTTCAATTGTCGTGTTATACAAAAATGTGATTTATCCTACTAAAATATTCTCAATATGACAATTGAAACAAAATTCTTGTCCATTTTGAAAAAATGAAAATCTGCCAATTTTTCATTCTTCATGTTTTTTTCTTAAGAGCCAGCGAAATTTGAAAAACCAATATTATGACCTAATTATCCCAATTACTCCTCGAGATATCCAAATATTCAATATCTATATTATATTTACCAAAAAAATTCATAATTCTCTGTCATTTTGAAAAAAATCAAAATTTTCACATTTTTAGAATTTCAGAATTATTGTCAATAATTCTCATGATACATAAAAATAATTTTTATTAAAAAAAATTCTTTCTAGTAATTTATGAAATTAAAATATTCTCAATATGACAGCAATTTAAAAAAATTCTCGTCCTTTTCAAAAAAATGAAAATCTTCTAATTTTTTATTCGTTATGTTTTTTTTTTAAGAGCCAGCGAAATTTGAAAACCCAATATTATGACCTAATTATCTCAATTACTCTTCGAGTTATCCAAGGTTTCTCTTTCAACATTATTTCCATTTAAAAAATGATGTTTTCGCACTCACCGTAAGTACCAGCCCCATGCGACCCCCCAATGACCACTGTTATTTTCGGTACTTTGGCGCAAGCAACAGCAGTCACCATTTTTGCTCCATTTTTAGCGATTCCCCCGGCCTCAGCCTCTCTCCCTACCATAAAACCTGCAAGAAAAAACTAAAAATAATTTTTAAGGTAAAGCAGGTACGTCTGAATAAAAGCATACATAGCTGCACTCGTAACCAGAGAGTGAATGACAATGGCCTCATTAGAAACCGAGGGAAATTTGTGATTCAGAGCCTGTGGAAACCCCCATTTAAGTCCTTCGCCCAAAAAAAAATATTGAGAACAATTTTTCATTCTCAAAAATAATGAATTCGCCATCTCAAGATCAATTTTTTTAACAATTTTCATTTTACGGTTTTGATTTTTGAAATTCTTATTTGACTATTCTCTTCTTCTATTTTTTCATCTCCTAAGAGCACATTGTTATCAATTTTTTTGATCCCAGACTAATTCTATTTTGATGACAATTTTTTGAGTGATCGTTGAAGAATCGATTTTTGTAGAAATATCAATTTTTTAAAATCTCTATGAAAAATTCAATTTTTATTTGTGTCAATGATTATTGTATTCATGAAATTCGATTGATTGCTTTCACATTTACTTACCCTAACACAAAAAATTGGAAACCTAAACTTGAATGATTCGGAAGCAAAAGGAAAATTTGTTTAAATCAAACAATGTATTGCCGATAAAAAAATAATTGATACCACAAACCTGTAATATTTTGTAAAAAAATGAGTGGTATTTTTCTGAAATGAAAATCTACAAATTTTTTATTCTCCATATTTTTTTAACAGCCAGCGAAATTTGAAAACCCAATATTATGACCTAATTATCCCACTTAAAATCTCACAAAAAATCCCACAAAAAATTTATAATCCTCTGTATCAATTTTTTTTAATCTGTATGAAAATTTTAATTTTTATTCGTATTAGTGATTATTATATTCATGAAATTCGATTGATCCCTTTCACATTTATTTACCCTAACACAAAAAATTGGAAACTTAAACTTGAATGATTCGGAAGCAAAAGGAAATTTCTTTAAAATTAAACAACGCATTGACGATAAAAAAATAATTAATACCACAAACCTGAAATATCTTGTAAAAAAAATGAGTGGTATTTTTCAAAAAAATGAAAGTCTGCCGATTTTTTATTCTCTATATTTTTTTTTTAACAGCCAGCGAAATTTGAAAACCCAATATTATGACCTAATGATCCCTCTTATACCTCAAGATATTCAAATATTCCATACCTACATTCTATTTACCAAAAAATTTATAATACTCTGTATCAATTTTTTTTAATCTGTATGAAAATTTAAATTTTCATTCGTATTAGTGATTATTATATTCATGAAATTCGATTGATCCCTTTCACATTTATTTACCCTAACATAAAAAATTGGAAACTTAAACTTGAATGATTCGGAAGCAAAAGGAAATTTTTTAAAAATCAAACAATGCATTGACGATAAAAAAATAATTAATACCACAAACCTGAAATATTTTGTAAAAAAATGAGTGGTATTTTTCTCTGCGCACAAAGCTGAACAAAGTGTGCACCCTTAAGTGCACTCTCTGAAAAGAGTACACCGTTGTTGGCAACAATTCCCACCGGATAGCCATGTATCCTTGCAAAACCAGTTACGAGTGTATCCCCGTATTGAGCCTTGAATTCATGAAAACGCGAACCATCCACAATCCTTGCAATTACTTCCTTGACATCGTACAGTTTTTTCAAGTTACTACCGACTATTCCATAAATCTCGTCAACATTGTGCAATGGTATTTCAATGTTTTTATTTATTTTGACGTCCATCGGTGTTTGTCGATTCAAATTACGTATTATGGTGCGGGCTGTGTGAAGGGCGTGTGTATCATCAACCGCGTAATGATCTGTTACACCAGATGTTCTATAGAGAAAAAATATTGTCCCTGGTGTAGTTCAATTTTTTGTGGCTATTTTTCTTAACGACGTCGTTAAGGGTTGAGGGGGGAATATTAATATGTTTGGTCTAATGGTTGAGAGGCTGCGGAAGCGAAAAAAATTTACTGAAATGCGGGGAAGACTTTGCGCCATGATTTCTCAGTCAAAAGAGGATGGAAAAGTCTGAGAGACGGCTTAAAAATTTGTTCATTTTAGAGAAACCGGATGGAGTGAGTTGAGGGTGATTTGAGAAGAATAAATAAGTTTGAGAAATGGTTGAAAATACGAGGTGGAGGTGCCGCCATGTTTAAAACTCCTTCCGCCAGAGGGACGGGGTATCCAAGCAAGATGGCGGCGCCCACACCTGTTAGTCACCTCGTATTTTTGAACACATTTTGAAATTATTGCCTCCAGTTCGCGATTTCTAACAGATTATGGACTGGACTTATTTCAACAGATTATGGACTGGAAATTCAACAGATTATGGACTGGGAATTCTATTATCAGGATTGATGAGGATATATTAATGTTTTGACGATGTTGTTGAATGTTTAAGAGGCCTCAGGAGCTAAAGAAACTACTGAAATTCGGGGAAAACTTTGAGTCATGATTTCTCAGTCAAAAAAGAATGGAAAATTCTGAGAGATGCCTTAAAAATTTGTTTATTTTACAGAAACCGAATGGAATGAGTTGAGGGTGATTTGAGAAGGTTAACTATTTTTAAGAAATGGTTGAAAATACGAAGTGGATGCGCCGCCATGATTAAAACCCCTTCCGCCAGAGGAAGAGGATATCCAAGCAAGATGGCGGCGCCCACACCTGTTAATCACCTCATATATTTGATCACATTTTGAAATTATTGCCTCCAGTTCTTGATTTTTTTACTCATTTCAACAGATTATGGACTGGAAATTTCGAAAATGCAATTTTTAGATCCTATTCCATTTTAAGGGTATTATTCTATTATCAGGGTTGATGAGGAAATATTAATGTCTTGACGAAGTTGTTGAATGTTTAAGAGGGCTCAGGAGCAAAAGAAAATACTGAAATGCGGGGAAAACTTTGCTTCATCATTTTTTAGTCAAAAGAAGATGGAAAAGTCTGAGAGATGACCTAAAAATTTGTTCATTTTACATAAACCGGATGGAGTAAGGTGAGGGTGATTTGAAGAGGGTAAACAAGTTTACGAAATGGTTGAAAATGCGAGGGGGAAGCGCCGCCTTAATTAATAAGTGTTTCGTGCTAATTGAGATTAAATTCAAATTTATCTATTTAATCATAGATATTTGCCACAATATCTATGTAATCTAAACCCAAGATCTTTAATCAAACAAAGATACCACAAGTTATAAAAAAATTGTTATTTAGTTCTATTATTCATTCAACAAACTGAAAAGATCAATAAAAATGCATTGGAAACGTCTCTACTCAACCATCTGACATAAATAATTGAGTCAATTCACTAGCATTTTTACCTGAATTTTATGACTCTAGCATAAATGTTTATCAACAAGGGTTTGTCGAATGCATTCAATTGTTCTCAAACATTTGTTTTTATTATTCAATCAATCGTGAAATAGTTGATGTCCTTGTTGCATGATTCATCTTACTTGCAATGAAGTGAAGCACCACCGAGCTCCTCGGCTGAGACAACTTCACCAGTTGAGGCCTTGACGAGCGGTGGTCCGGCTAAAAAAATTGTACCTTGTTTACCAACTATGATATTTTCATCAGCCATTGCTGGCACGTATGCACCACCAGCTGTACAACTGCCCATAACTACTGCTATCTGGGGGATCCCTTTTGCACTCATATTTGCCTTAAATCATTTCAACTCATAATAACAAAAAACATTTCGGTGATCAAGTGCTGAAAGGACGTAAGTCCAAAATTAAAAATTTACCGATTATTTTAGTTCCATCAGAGAGGCAGGGAAATTTGAGGCAGAAAACACAGTATGACACCCTCATTATTTGAATTAATTTCCGAAATTATCTTTTTTTTTTTTTCAAAATCGACTTTTTCAGTTTTCTCAGCAACTAGTGGGGTGAAATGGGTTCATGCCCAGTGTTTGGAAACGGAAATTTCCCTGGCTATCCGATAAAAGCATTTTCAAATTTTTAGAATTGATGTTTCAAATTGATTTTTTTAAATTACTTGATTATAAAAAGTCCGTCCAAAATGATATTTATCCGGAAACGAGTCAGCCTGATATGGTAAATTAGCACCACCACTGTCCACCAGATAAATACAAGGTAGATTATTCTCATCAGCAATTTCCTGTGCCCTAAGATGTTTCTTAACTGTGATTGGATAGTAAGTGCCGCCTTTAACTGTCGCGTCATTAGCAGCAATCACACACTCTTGTCTAGTAGTAAGGGAGTAGAAAAATGGGCAAAAATCAGAAATTTGAAAGGGGAGAAAAAAAAGTGATAATAATGAAACTTGTGAGTCATGTGATTTAGAGGATCGTTAATATCACGAGTAATTACCCCTCGACTCTTCCGATGCCTGTAATTATTCCACCGGCTGGCACCGTGTCTTTGCCATACATATCGTATCCAGCTAATTGTGAAAACTCCAGGAAGGGTGATTCAGGATCTAATAAAGTGTTTATACGATCCCGCGGCAACAATTTTCCTTTGCTAAGGTGTCGCTCTTTTGCTTTAGCTCCACCGCCCTCCACTATTTTCTCGACTGTTGATTTCAAGTTGTGGACGAGTTTTTGCATTTCGTGATAATTTTCCTGATGAGATTATTAAGGTTTTATTTATGGGTTTGCAGAGTGTTACTGTCAGGGATTTTCTCGCACGCCGAGTGTACGGTGAAATAGAGTATTTATTCAATTGTGCACAAAGTGAAATTTTACGTACGCTTCGTACTTTCCACGCATTGTGATAAAAAAAGGCTTATTCTAACCTCGCTTCGCTCGATTAGATCGCGCTTTTCGGGCCCAATGACATAAAATATTGTATGCCACACGGCGATAAAAGAATTATCTGACGAATGTGATTATAATCCTCGCCTTCGGCTCGGATCATAAAGCCGCATTCGCCAAATAATACTTTTATCGCCTAATGACATAATGTACTATTGTTAAAATAGCTATTTTCGTCACAAGACCGAAAAAAAACTTTTCTGACCGATGTGAAGATTGCGAACCGAGCCGAAGGCGAGGACTGACCAACCACGCGAGTAAAAAAACTCCATGGCACTAGTCGTGAACAATATTTTTCGTCATTCCGGCCGTAAAGCAGCGATTTACGAACGCGTAGCGCTCCAGCCTACGGCCGGAATGACAAAATAGTATATTTCGTAACGAGTGCAAAAAAGTGTTTTTTGGCGAGTGAGAGGTTTATATCACGAGCAGAAGGCGAGTGATATAATCCCACGAGCTAAAAAACATTTTTTCACGAGTTACGAACAATATTTTTCATCACAATTGGACTTTTAGGCACGCGGAGTGTGCCGAAAAGTTCACTTTTCGTCACAGCGTGATGAAAAATATCATTCGACATATAGCCTAAAAAAACTTTTCTAGCTCATATGATTGCAGCAAACTCATTTCATCATAAATGCAAATAACACAAAAAAAACCCGTAATCGGCCTCTAAATTCTAATCCTCTTTTAATTGATTTAATGCCTAAAGGTGGTTAGACGCTGTTGAGAGGCGAATTTGGAGAGAGGATTGCCGTATGGAGAGAAATGTTCCGTAAAAATTACGAAACTCACAATTCGCTCACCGATTACGGAATCGACTCAGAAAATTTGAGTGACGGTATCGGAATTTTTCACCGGAGATTCAGGTAAAAATTACGGAACGCTCGGGAGAACTTCCGTGATAGTTCCGTGAAATTTTCTACAACCACATTTCGCTTCGGAATTACGGAAAAGATACGTAATTTTTATTGAACATTTCTCTCCATGTAGTTCCCGGTAGCTTAGTTGAGAGAGTGCCCGGCGCGTAACTGGGAGACCCGGGTTCGAATCCCGGCGGTGCGGAATTTCGGTAATTAGATAACATAGCAACTCCTATTCATTCGGGATACTGATAAGTAAATATCAACTTTTTATATTGATCTTGAAGTAATTCGACGTATATTGTGTGGGAACCTGATTGCTATAAATGAATTTAACCTCCTTTGAGCTATCACACTTAATAATATGTATGCTCATGTAGATGTACGGGACTTCCCATTCTGCGCTTTCCCTTCTAAAAGCAGTTATGAAATTTCATTTATGAGGTGTTCATACAAATTCAACGTGTAGTGAAGCACTTTTTCTTAAAGTATCAAGCTTCACCAGCACTTAGTAAAAATTTTTTCTTCTCGTATACCCTTTCGGGTCTTTACGATTTGTTCCCTTCCCACCCCCCTCAACCCCCTGTACCGCATTTGCCGAAGGGAGGGAAAACCTCATTCGAGGGAAAAACCTGCCCTGGTACAGTCGTCCTTTTGACGGAACTACCGCTCGGCAGTGAAACTGTGAGATTAGAGCGCTATAAATTTTGACCGCCGGTGCCGGGAAGCGAACCCGGATTATTGGCATACGAGTCTAGCACTCTAACCGCACGGCCACTACCGTCGGTCACCAGCACTTAGTATTACCCAGGGTTCGCGACGGGGACGCAGCTGGTATGAACCCCACAAAGGTCAAAATTTGACCCAGTCACCCCCTTCAAGTTAATTACCTAATTGAGTCCGACTCAATTTTCTTGTTGATTTCAATTTCTATTGGTATTAAATGACTAAATAATTTAGCTTCCTCGAAAAATTCGTTGGAGCAGTTATATACTCTAATTACCGGAATTTTTTCTCTCTAAATTCTAATTCTATTGGAATTTTTTTTCGCCAGAAAAGTTTTTTTCATTGCTCAAGCCCAAAAAGGGCTCTTTTACCGACGGTAGTTAAGCATGAGAAGTAGGTCTTTTTACCGTTGAGCAGTATAAAAGTGAGAAATGCACTACTTAGGAGTGAAAAAGTGAGAAATGCACTCCTTAGGACTGAAAAACGTGTGGCGCCACCCAGCGTTAATGTACCAAAATATAAAACTACATATAAAAACTGATAAATTCAGCCAGTGAATCCCCTTNGACCTAATGACGAAACATACTATTTCTTCACAACGTCTATAAGCGGCCTTTGACGGACACGAAGTGACGTTTTCGTCACTAGGCCAGATAAACCGCGATTTAACCGAGCGAAGCGAGCCATTTTGCCTAATGACATAAAATATTGTTCGACACCCGACAACTCGCCTTCGGCTCGTGTAACCGCTTATTCGCCAGAAAAGTTCCTCACGGCCTAGTGTCGAAATTTACTAATTTACGGAAGTGTGATGAAATAATATATTTCGTCACTAGGCCGGAAAAAACTTTTCTGGCGAATATGAGTTTGCAGCCGGAGCCGAAGGCGAGGGCTGCAATCATATGAGCTAGAAAATTTTTTTTGGCCGTATGACGAACAGTATTTTTGTCATGACGGCCGTAGGCTCCGCTCCGCGTCCGTGAAGCGCTGCCTCACGGCCAGAATGACAAATAGTATATTTCGTCACTAGGCCGAAAAAAACTTTTCTGGCGAATGCTCGTGCTGCAAACCTTATATTCGCCAGAAAAATTTTCTTCTGTACTGCTTCTCACGATTTCTCGTCTGGGAATTGGTATTACATACTTCCCACACTCGAAAACTTGAAAATCACTACAGAAAAATATTGTTCCTGGGCTGTTGCGATGGGGTTTTTTTACTCGTGTGGTTGGCCAGTCCCCGCCTACGGCTCGGAGGCCAACGCCACACGAGTAAAAAACCCCATCGCAACAGGCCGGAAAAATACTATTTCGGCTTAATAATGAAATATACTATTTTGTCATGACGGCCGTAGGCAGAGATTCGCGGACGCGGAGCGTCCGTGAAACGCTGCCTTACGGCCGGAATGACAAAAAAGTATTATCTGACGAATGTGACACGCGACTTTATAATCCGAGCCGAGAAGGCGAGGATTATAATCACATTTGTCAGATAGTGCTTTTATCACCTGATGACGTAATATACTAAAATTATGCACTTATAGCGAAATATACTATTGGGTGAAATAGAATATTTCATCACTCGTGCGTAAAGTGAATCTTTGCACACGCTCCACAGTTTCCACATCTCTCTATATCATAAAAATCCAGATCGATATTGAAAATGGGATAATTTAAATAACCAAACCGGTAAATAAGTAAAATAACTTTATTAATTAGACTTTGCGTAATACGCTCGGAAGACACATCCGCTCTTTATCAATTCCTCTGAAGAACTGGACAAAATGACAAAGGGATACAATACCCTGGGCTACTCAGAATTTTCGTCCATAAAAATGTTCTTCACACCCGTGTGTAAACAGAGAGAAAAATGTAAAATTAATTTTTGCCTCCCATTATTTCAACTAGAAATTTAACAATCGACTTTTGGTGACAAAAATATGGTATCCGAAATTGAGATTCCAAAATTAAAGGTCACGAGGGTCAAACTCATGGTCATGAGGGTCATGAGTTTTGTAAATGTCAGATGAAGGGTCATTAGGGTCAGAAGAACGGTCAAAATAAATCAATATTTGGCGAAAATAATTTTTTTATCAGTGTATTTCCGTCGAATCAGTCCCCTGATATGAATAAACAAACTCTCGCTTCGGGTCACCGAACGCCCGATAATTCAAATTTTTTCGGGGAATTCATTAACGAGATAAGAAACGCCTCGGATATTCTCAACGGGTACAGTACCTCCGCGTAACACAATCCATCAGTAATTAAACGGTGAATAATTTCGCAGTTTTCAATGAAAAAAAGCAGTAACAAATAATAGTTCAAAGAATGAATACGACAGTAATGAGTAAATAAAATTGTAGTTCAAAAATTAATTATCGACTGACAAATCATTCCGTAAGTTTTGTAAATGTACAATTAAATTTCCTCTTTAAAAAAAAACAAATTTACAGAAAAATTCAGAAATAATTAGGCAATTCCCTTGCGATATCCCTCATACCTAAATACCCAAAATTAATTTTTGTTCTGACCTGATACTCCGGAGATTCGACATCTGGACAGCTGCCGATGACCGCAGCCTCGTCATGAAAACTCCTGGAGATGATCCTGACTCTCCTCAACAAAACTCCACTCCTCAGCATTTTGAACATCCTCACAGCACTTCTAATTCCCCAAAAAAAATCTAAAAAATATTCCCCTTCCCCAGAAAAAAATTCTGAAAAAATAGTGACTCTCCGCAGATCTACAAAAATATCGCGAAAAAATTATTCAATTTACATTCGCGAATAAATCACCGACAGTAGGAACACGTGAAGCTCTCGTTCTATTTACTATTCCAACACTTACGAGAACACTTGCGAATGACCGAAGACTTTGCGGACAACAAGTCGCCATCTTTGAGTGGTCGAGGGAACTAGCGTCACGCCAGCGCCACTCGGGTGTTTGCAAATTCATCATCCGTCATTACCATTACGTGTTTCGTCATAATAGAGACGTGAGGAATTCGGTGTTGAAAAAATACTGGCGGTTAGGGGAGACAATTAATTATTTGTGATTGACAGTCGTGAGGTGTTGAGGTCGAGTGTCGGGCGATTCTCAGGTGCATCATGCCGGATATTTCTGCCATTGCCCATTTCCCTCTGAAGGTAGGTAAAGTCTTGTTTTGGTTAAAGATCGAGTCGCATTATCGTGAATATGAGTATAAATACATCGGTTTCATCTGATTCTTGTTTATTTACGTCTGTGGCGTATTTATTTGGATGCAGGATTGAGGGCCTGATGAGAAATTTTGTCATTAATTACTGGGATTGTTGATGATTAATGCAGGAGTGAGAGGACGGAATCGAATATCTGAGGTTTTTTTGGATGCTTGAGTTTTTGGTGGATATCTCGGGATTGAAAGGAGATAGCGGAAATTTTGTAAAGAACTTTTTTGTGGGGAATTTCAATGGCTATAAAAAAGGTTCTGACAGTCAGTCTGATATTTCGATTGGTTTCGGAGATATTCGTCAAAAACTGATGTTTGTTTTTTTGAATTACAAAATCAGAGATAAAACAGACTTCATTAAATCGTTAATATCTCGTTAACCGTTGATCATACGAGAAAATACCTCAGGACCTTTTTTGTAGATAATTAAATTCCCCGCAAAAAGTGTTTGTGACATTTTTCGTTAAGATCACTCATTACCGAGAGAATTGAAGATTTACAAACATTTTTAACTAAGAAATGGTCAATCATTCTATCTACTCGCACCAAATATTTTTATCCTCGTCTTTTTGTGTCTGTGGCTTTCGCTCCCGGCGTCACTCGTGCATTCCCCAAGCCAAGGGGATGATATCTGACACCCACCGGTGACGGGTTTCCCAAGAAATGAACGAAATCGATTCCTGGGGAGGAGTTTATTTACCTTTTACTGTTACTATCACTCAACTCTTCACTGTTCATTATTTATTTATTCTCCTGAGGCATTACATCTGTACTGGGGAACTTCCAGGGGGCGTATTCGGGAAAAAGTCTCTCATTATCATTAGTTTTGTCTGTGACGATTGAATCATCATTCAGATAATCCTCTCATAATCTTATTGATTTTATTATTCATTCCAGGCCATATTCGCTATCCACTTAGTCCTAACAACATGGTGAGTTGAGTGGAATTAATTTTTTAATGTAATTTTTTTAAAACTAATTATTTAATTTTTATGGGGATTCCAGGGGTCTGCAGGGACACTGGTGTCCACAATCAGCAATGTTCTACAATCTCCTGTTCTTCGTCTGTCTAATGTGGGCAGTGCACAATATCGAGTCGGATGAACCACTCCAATTTGTAGGATTAATCCATTCGAGCAATTTTTTCCATTCAATGGAATTAATGAATGGAATTCAGTAGCGAAGTGGTAAAATGGTACAAGTCAATTTCGACTATTGACCAGTTTTCAATGAATATCTCGCAATCTAAGGGAGATTGCAAAATTTTTGTTATAACCTTTTTTGTAGAGCCGATTGAGAGTTACAACAAATGTAATTACGAAAATTTCGCTATCTCCCTCAGGTTCAGAAATATTCTTCAAAAACTCACCTGGGAGATGAGTCGACTTAAGGTGTTTCTCCTGAAAAGTCAAAATAATGAAAAAAAATGGAAAATTCACGAGAGAAAATTCTGAGTATGCTGCATCATTGAGAATTCTTGCACATTTTTTCCAGATCTCAGTCTCAAGAAACAAAAATAATGAAATTTGGATGTTTTTGTAACCCATCCAGCTATAATCTCCGAGGTTACCCCACTCTCAATTAGAGGAATTTCCATGACACCCAAAAAATAATGGACTATTGAGGAAAAACTAGTGGGTGATAAATTAAATCTTTCTTGAGAACACGTATAAGTTTCAGATGTTTTTCAGATTTCATAAGAAAGTTATTTGAACAAATGATTCGGAAAATTACGAGTTTCGGGGCAATTACGCCCTCACGCGCAGTCGCGTGATTCGAATGAGCATCATGGGAAAGGTATGGGTTGGACCATGGAACTGAGAGAGAAAACACTCAACAGGTTTACCAACTCCAGACGCATTTTAATATTATTTCAATAACTAGAATAACATCCAATAAAAATTATTTGACACCCGCAGGTGATGAGAAAAAAATCAGTCAATCTGATGAATAAAATCAATATTCAAAAAATGTTCAAATGCACACGTAAATAGTTACTTGAAAATTAGAAAATTTCGTGCTCAGCGATTGAATCAGGGCTCGAGAACAATAAGACCCCCCTTCCGTTTAATCGCCCTTTGATCTGCAGGCGAAACACCTTAAACCGTTTTACCACTTCGCTACTGAATTGAATCGTGAATAAAATTGAAATAATGGTTCATTTTTTTAAAACTTCAGGCACTGTGCATCAACGTTCTCTCGATATTTCTCGACATAATCACCCTGTCGGTCTACTTCCCAGAAAACTGTAAGTAATTGTGAACCACCAACAGTCATAATGGAAAATCAATTTTGATGAGCGAGACCAGCTTTTTCAAGATGAAAAAAAATTATGATTGTCTATTACCCCCTGACCATGCTGCAGAAGACGTATCTGTATCCCACCCACAACTTGTAGGGGCATCTGAGAAATTCAGTGGAGCTGTTATGATCATAAATCTACTCGTCAGATTAATCACGACTGTTTCGTTACTGAGAATTGGACAGGCTAGGGGTGGAACACTGGCGACACTTTTTCCATCAGGACCTGGTGTGGGTTCGTATCAGAATGAAAGAGAGAATGCTAATTAGATCGTTTTAAGGTGAATTATTTGGCTTGATATGATAAGATTTATGCTGTTTTGGATAATTTATTTCTTCGTTTAGTTTTCATTTCTTTGTTTTGCGAATGTCTTGGAAACTAGTGGATTTAGGGGAAAATGTCAGAAGACATTTTTCGTGGGGAATTCAACTCTCTACAAAAAAGACCTGAAGACATTTTTTGGTAGACCTGGGTGTTTTCGAGATACTTGACTTGATGTGATGATAACTCTGTAGTTATAAAAAATTTCTCTTTCGTCAATTTCTCATTTCTTCATTTCGCAAATATGTTGAAACATTTCCCTCTAAATTCGATAGTTTCACAGGTATTTCAGTTGATATAAACTCAGAGAATACCTGAAATTGCCTTTATTAAATTTCTCTTATCTAAAGGTCAATATGTAATGAAAAAAAAATAGCGGTGGTTTCAGATAATTTATTTCTCCGTTAATTTTTTATTTCTTCGTGAATGTTTTGAAAACTAGTGAGTTTAGAAAAACATTTTATTAGATATTTTCTGGGACAAAAAGGCACTAGTTTTCTAGATATTCACGAAAGAATATTAAAAAAATTTCTTCTTCTTCAATTTCACTACCTGAACATGCATTTAATAAGCTAAAAGATGATTAATTATCACGTTTTCAATGTTGCAGACTACGCGAGACAGCAGTACGAAGATATTTCCTACCCAGTCCCCCAGAATGCTGATTTTTCGGGGATATAAAGTTCCTGGAGAATAAAAAAAGAACAAATTTAAGTCTTGTCATTTTGTTGTTGAAAATTAAGTTGAAGATATTTTTAAAAATCAGAGAATTAATATAAATGTAACTACTGAGCGGCACTAACTTTAATCTGACTAAACCAATTCTGACGAAAATCGAGGAAGAAACAACAGGAATAGTATTGCGGGAAATAGATTGTGGGAAAATGTTTTTGGGCTCTTGGTAGGTTTATAGCACGAGCCGAAGGTGAGTGATATAATCCCACGAGTCTAAAAACACTTTTCCCGCGAGTATCGAACCCTATTTTTCATCACAATGTGTGGGAAGTGGGGTTTTGCGCACGCGGAGCGGCGTAAAATGTCACTTTACACAATTTATCAACTGATCAATTGAAAGTAAAAAACGTCTGTGAGAGGTTTTCGATGTTTATGTTCGAAAAGGAGAGGGAGACACCAATGATATTTTTTTACCTCAAACAAAAAATTGTAACAGTCAGTAGAACTTAATTTCAAAGTACTGAATAATTAATTACAATCTTTTCACTCATGACGCTGTGCTTAAGTTAATGAACGTTTGTATTTTAGTGCATTAAATAAACTGTTTTTCCACTTCTATTTGATGATTTCGCATCACGACGTAGGAGCAGGATCTAAAAATTACATTTTCGAAATTCCCAGTCCATAATGAGTTGAAATAAGTAAAAAAATCGAGAACTGGAGGCAATAATTTCAAAAAATGTTCAAAAATACGAGGTGATTAACAGGTGTGGGCACCGCCATGTTGCTTGGATACCCCCTCCCTCTGGCGGAAGGGGTTTTAAACATGGCGGCGATTCCACCTCGTATTTTCAACCATTTCTTAAACTCATTTATCGTTCTCAAATCAGCCTGCACTCACTCCATCCGGTTTCTCTAAAATGAACAAATTTTTAAGCCATTTCTGAGACTTTACTGTCGTCTTTTGATTGAGAAAGCATGACGCAAAGTTTTCCCCGCATTTCAGTAGTTCCTTTTGCTCCTGAGGCTTCTTAAACATTCAACAACTTCGTCAAAACATTAATATTCCTTCTTCAACCCTTATAATAGAATAATACCCTAATAGTGGAATATGATCTAAAAATTGCATTTTCCAAATTTCCAGTTTATAATGAGTTGAAATAAGTAAAAAAATCGAGAACTGGAGGCAGTAATTTAAAAATATGTTAAAAAATACGAGGTGACTAACTGGTTTGCGCGCCGCCATCTTGCTTGCATACCCCTTCCCTCTGGCGGAAGAGGTTTCAAAAATGGCGTCGCCTCCACCTCGTATTTTCAGCCATTTCTTAAATTTATTTATCCTTCTCAAATCACTCCATCCGGTTTCTGTAAAATAAACAACTTTTGAAGCCATTTCTGAGACTTTTCCGTCCTCTTTTGATTGAGAAATTATGACGCAAAGTTTTCCCCGCTATTCAGTAGTTTCGATTACTCCCGAGGCCTCTTGACCATTCATCAACTTCGTCAAAACATTAATATTCCCTCTTCAATCCTTATAATAAAATAATAGCATAATAATGGAGTAGAATCTAAAAATAGCATTTTCGAAATTACCCGGAAATAATGAATTGACATAACTAAAAAAATCGAAAACTGGAGGATTTATTGATAATTTCAATAAATGTTCAAAAATACGACCACCATCTCGCTTTGATACCGCCTCCCCGCGCCAAAAATGGCTCTAAAGATGGCGATGCCTCCACTTTCCATTTTCAAACATTTCTTAAAATTATTTATCCTCTCCAGATCACCCCCAACTCACTTCATCCAATTTCTATAAAAAGAACAAATTTCCCAAGCCATCAGGCAAATTTTTCCATCCCCCTTTCGTTGAAAATTCATTGCGCAAAATTTTCCCCACACTTCAGCAGTCTTTTTCCTTTTCATCACTTCGTTCGTCGTCCCCTCTTAACCCTAAAGACTATTTTGTCCAAAAGAATTACCATTCTTTCTACGAATTATTATTTTTCTTCTTGACTTTTCCTTCACATCTCTGTTTTGTCCTCGAGCTACCGTTTCACTCCAGCCCCCGTCCCGAAAAACCTCGAACTTTCGAATACAGCGCGCGAGCCCCCCACCAATCGCCTCTGCCGTGCCCCCCCTCCCGCCCATCGCCCGGCTCACGATCCACCCGTCTCCCTCGCGTACCGCAGCGCAACACAGTCTCACGAGATACGCGGTCCAGTGGAGAGGGATGAAACGCGCTATAAACTCGCTCCCGGTTCCCTCAGTCGCGGTGAATTAAAAAAAAAGCCCTCGTGACGTCTCTCTCCGCCGGTGTTATTTTGTTTCGCTCCGTGCGGAGTGGCTCCGCGTCGTGGCCGCACGCCAAAACAATCAGTGGTGAAAACATGGCCGCCAGCGACGACGAGCCGATGCATCTCTACGAGGTTTTTCAGAATTGCTTCAATAAAATAGCCAACAAACAACCCGGTGAGTGACTATTAACGGTTTGTGGACAAGTGAATTTTTTGGAAATGGAGAGGTTTTTGGGATTTTTGTGGTTTTTGTGCGGTGTGACGACTCGAGTGATGGGGGATAGCGTGCGCCCTCGGCCCCTTGCGAGGGTTGTGACCGGATTTTTGGGAGTTTTTCGGGGGGACTGAGGGCAGAACTCTTGCCGGAGGGTCTCGCCGGCGGTTTCAGGGGGTCCGAGCCCGGGGACGGCCTAGGGGGTGGCTCCGCGGGCCCGCGGGACTGTGTTTTGGTTCGGAATGGTTGTCAATGTGCCTGCATGGTGCTGCCATGCGGGGGTTTTCATCATTTACTACCCCTATTTTATTTATTTATTGTTATTTGGACTTTTGGATGAAAGTCCAAATACCAATAGGGATTGAGGGCATTTATTTGGGATTTTTTTGGGTTAAGGAAGACGGAATTGCGGAGGATTTTTTTGTCAGAATTGGAGAGGATTTTTGGTTCTTCGGATTTTTTTTGCATGTTTACTGTGCATGAGGAAGAATTTTATTTATTCACGGAATTATTGGTTCTTATTGATCGATGAATTATTTGTTTTGGTGATTTTTTGGAGAGAAACAAGTGGGGAAAATGTTTTTTTGAAAATTAAGGATTTTTCTCCTGTTTTTTCCATGAAAAAAATTTTTTTTTTGCATTTTTCAATTGTAAAATGTCAAGAAATTTTTGGTATTTAAAAAAATATATTTTTACTAGTTTTTTAAAAATTGTATTGGATTTTTTTCGGGCACATTTTCGGAAGATGGGGTTTCACAATTGCTTATCATAAGAATTTAATTATTCAGAGAATTATTATTTTTTATTGATCGATGATTTATCAGTTTTATTAATTTTTTAGAAAGAAACCATTGGGAAATTTTTTTTTCCAAAATTGGGGAATTTTCTCCTCTTTTTTTGTTGTTTTTGCAAGAATCAAAATTGTTTAGGATTTTTCATTTGCAAAAATTGTGAAGAGAAAATTTTTGCTATTTAGAAAAAAATTATTTTCCAATTTTTTTTTTGAGAATTGTATTGGATTTTTTTCGGACACGTTTTCTGAAGATGAGGTTTCACAATTGATTATCATGAGAATTTAACTATTCAGAGATTTATTTTTTTTTTTCTTATCAATGATTGATCAGTTTTATTCATTTTTTAGAAAGAAACCGTTTGGGGATTTTTTTCTCCAAAATTGGGGAATTTTTTCCTATTTTTTTTGTTGTTTCTGAAAGAATCAAAATTGTTTAGGATTTTTCATTTGCAAAAATTGTGAAGAGAAAATTTTTGGTATTTAGAAAAAAATTATTTTCCAATTTTTTTTTTATTGAGAATTGTATTGGATTTTTTTCGGACACGTTTTCTGAACATGAGGCTTGACAATTTATTATCATAAGAATCTAATTATTCAGGGAATTATGGTTTTTTATTGATCCATACATTATTAGCTTTATTGATTTTTTACAAAGAAAACCATTGTAGAAAATATTTTTTCTGAAGTTTGGGTTTTTCCTGTTTTCGCAATGAAAAAAGAAATTTTGTTGTAAAAAAAAAAACAAAATGGTTCTTTTAATTGCAAAAACTGAAGATTTTTGTGTTCCTTCCCAGAAAACAATTTTTGCCAGTGCCATCTAAAATTTAACAAGACATCGGCAATTTGTCGATAAATTGTCGACATATTGTTTGCTGGGTTAGACGAAAAAAGAATTTTTTATTGTTTTTGAAGAAAACAAAATCGTTTGCGATATTTCATTTGCTGAAATAGCAGAAAATTTTTAGTTTTTGTAAAAAAACTAAAAATTCTTCCAACTTTTTTTTGAGGATTATATTGAATTTTTTCTTCTTGCAACATTTTTCCCAAAGATGAGGTCTCACAATTGATTACCATAGAAATTCAATTATCGAAAGAATTATTATTTTTAATTAATCGATAAATTATGAATTTTATTGAGCATAAAAAACGTCAAGACTCAGCACGTTTTGGAGTTACACCTGCCGGGATGAGGGAATTTTTCAGTGGTATATGCTACAGTGCAACGTACCAAATACAGCATCAGTGTCTCTCATTTCGTTGATAATTTATGAACAATTGTCGTTATCAATGAATTGGTATCCGATTAAATCCACGATTGATCGATATTTATTTCATTCATGATTTTCATCTTTTTTATTCGAGTTTTGTTAATGCGCATTGGAATGTGAATTGATCTCAAATCAAATCGTGAATTCTTGACTCTCAACTCTACTCACTTGAGACTATTATGGATGCAATTTAAATCCCCATGTCAAGTGCGTAATTAATCGGTGCAATTAACCCCACGGGGTTATGCATTTATTTCGCTGAGCTTTTTACTTTGAATTCTTTCATCATCCGACTGTTGCTAAATCGTTAATTGCAAATCACGTGCTAATTGTCAATAATTTGCGGTCAAAACTTGAATTAAAATTTTCTCATTAACGCCACAGAGTCATAAAAATATTTGTCTTGTATTGTCGGAAAAATTTCCGCTTCCAAACCCTGTTCATAACCCCATTTTACCTCACCAGTTCCTAAGAAACGTTGAATAAACGATTTTTTTCGAGAAATGAAAATGGTAAAACCTCTGGAAATACCGGGGCAAAAGGGGCGTATG